GGTCACCGTAGGGAGACCCTGTCTCAAACAAACAAAAGTGGAAGCCACCATGTGGGGAGAGGAGTCTGGGCCATGGTGACCCACGTTCTGGGCTTGGACTCCACTGCCGACCCGTGGCCACTCCCCACTGCTCCCGCTGCCTGGGGTCCCTGGGCCTGGGCGGACGCCTTCTCCATGGCCGGCTGCATTCTCCATGGGCTGACGTCCGGGGACCCCCGAGCAGAAACCACCTGAGCCCTGGGGCCTCGGGCCCGTCCGGCTCCAGAGGAGGCCACTGACCGAGCACCTTCGATGCAACCTTTATTTGCAAACTCTGAGGCTGGACACGGCCTCAGACGGACGGCGTCCAGTTCCTGTCCCTCCACTTTCCCGTGGCTTCCGGGGCTCAGAAAGGGCAGTGATCACGGTCCAGCCTCTGCCCCAACCCAAAAGGCATAGGAGACCTCTCTCTCTCTTCCCCCCAGCCTGCGGGGTTCCTGGCAAGCCGGGCGTCGGGGGCTGGTGCTTGCTCCTCTGGGGCCGGCCTGTGGAGGTGGCAGGGCAGCAGTGCCTGCCAGGGACCCAGGCCAGGGAAGTGTCACTTTCTGAGCTGATGACTTCGGATTCCAGCTGGCAGCCAGACCTGGGGGTTGTTGGGGTTGGCCCTGGCACGAGCCAGGCCTATGGGGGGCCGTCCGGTGGACCCGCCACAGAGGACGGGGCCCCCGAGGGTCAGGGCCAGGAGGCCCAGCACCATGGCCGAGGCTGGGCAGCGGTGGTAGGGGCAGGCGGCAGCTCTAAGCTGGCGATGGTTGTCGGGGGTGGTGGGCCCCAAGCAGGAGCCCTGCTGCTGGTCCAGCGTGTAAGATGGGGGACAGGAGGTGCAGTCCCTCGGGGAGCTGCCACGGCAGGTGTAGCAGGAGGCGTGGCAGCTGGAACAGACCCTCAGCGCAGGTGCCGCCGGGTGACCAGGCCTGGCGGTCACCAGCCTCGTGTGGTTGAAGAAGCGCGGGGGGCAGGAGGCCAGACAGAGCTGTCCCAGGATGTAGGTGGGGTCGCCACATGCTGCTCGGGGATACGGCCATGGAAGCCGTGAGCTTGCCACCCGAGGCCTGTTGCCCACCATCTGCCCTCCTGGGGCCACAGGCACAGTGCTCGCGGTGGCCGCCTGACCTCCCAGCCGTGGGCCCTGCCATGCCGGCACTCACCCTGGCACAGCCCCTCCGTGTCCCGCCGCACACACAAGCTGCCGGTCACCTGGGGGCCTGGAGGCCTGGCTGTCATGTCCTCCGCCGTCCCGTAGAGCAGCAGCGTGTAGCGGTACAGCGTCCCTGGGCAGGGGTCACAGGTGGGCACAGGAGGAAGAGGCTCTTGGCAGCCTGGACCTGGCTGTCCCTGGGATCCCTCCCCTGCAGCTCCCACCAGGGCCCAGGCTGGTTCACGTCTCCCGGGAATTGCACACCTACTGTGCGCCTGTCACTGCACACCTACTGTGCACCTGTCACTCCACACTGACATCTTCCAGATGACTCCACACCTACTGTGTGCCCGTCACTCCACATTGACATCTCCTGGGTGACTCCACACCTACTGTGTGCCCGTCACTGCACACCGACATCTCCCGGGTGACTCCACACCTCCTATGTGCCCGTCACTCCACATTGACATCTCCCAGGTGACTCCACACCTACTGCATGCCTGTCACTGCACACCTACTGCGTACCCGTCACTGCACACCTACTGCGTACCCGTCACTGCACACCGACATCGCCCGGGTGACTCCACACCTACTGCGTGCCCGTCACTCCACATTGACATCTCCCGGGTGACCCCACACCTACTGCGTGCCCGTCA